GTTTATAGGCTAGTTTGGCAAACGGGACCCTTGTTTTTCTCCCTCAGGAGAAAGGGCGTTTAGACCATTTCCTACATATTACAATAGCTCAGAATTGAGAGGGAACAGAGAACCCCCAGAGGAAATCTGGTGTGTAGAAGTGAATCTCTGTCCAGAAAACACTGGAACACACATAAAGCTCTTCCGATTACATTAAATCCCAGCCTAGATAAACCGAAAGAGAGAAATTTAAGGTAATGAAATAGTACGACTGATTTCTACAAAGCACGTGTGAAAACCACCGCGCTGTTGCCGTAACACCCGTGTGAAAGAGTATGCGTATGTGTGCAAACGTGTGCTGTGGGCATTGCTGAGTGAAATCGTGGTCAAAACATAGAACAAGGTGTAGAGGAATTCAAGATGGAAAAAAATAGAAGTCTCTATTATCCCTGCTCCTCCTCCTTAGTTTCCGGTGAGGTCTTGCGGAGCACCCTCATTCCAGGAACAAATGAGCCTGTCACTTGTATGTCACTTGTCATACTTTACGTTTTTACATTATTTGACTTCTTTAGGACTCTTCAGCTTCTCAGTACCACAGTGAAATCTAATCATTTCATTGATCAAAAGAGGAAATGCATTTTCTTTCTATTAGACGTAAGCTTTTAAAAAGGTTTGCCCACAGAGCCATAAGGAACCACGTACACACGACGTGTCTGATTATCATCTTACAGAAAAATTGGCGAGAAGGTTTCAGGATTTCCAGCTCCCCCTCCCCACACCCTCAGAAAGTCTCTCTTTGAAGTAGGTAAGTTCAGCATGCATTGGGTTGGGGGTCTAGGATGTGGAGAATGTCCATCTGGAAAGTACTCTGTAAGGCTGGAGTCTCGTGGTGGGCCCCGTGCTCCCGCAGGCCTCTGGGGGAGCTGGTTGCCTGTTCTGCCAAGGTCATGGCTATAAGGCCTGACGTAACACATGAGGAGATAGAGACCTGTCTCATCAAAGCACATTGAACAGAACCCTTCTCACCTGGGGAGTGCCTGAGAACACCCAGCCCTAGGGATTAGCATGCTGCTCCCCTAAAGGTCCTACAGGCCTCAGCACTTCCATCTGTACTACCCTGTGCCTCCTTCTGTTCTACCCTTGTTCCCCAGCTTCCAACCTGGCTCAAGGCCCTGCCTCCCTCATTTTGTCTCTGGTGTGGTTGACCTTGAGGGCCTCTTCTGGAAATGCTCTTCCTACTTGGTCTGGAATTCCTCCTTAGAAACCATCCTAATTTCACCTCCAGGCTCTCCAACCTGTGACAATGGGTAAAAGGCATACCAGTGCCCCCTATCCTCACTCCTGCCACCTTGGCCCATTCCCTATCAGCTTCCCTGCCAAGAAAGAGAACTTGGAGAAAGGAGGACGCAGGAAAGCAGATACAGAGGCACCAGGAACATGCCTTGTGTACGGATATTAACCATCTTTATTTCCATCAAAAGAGAGGGTGTGATGGTTAATTTTAGATGTCAACTTGACTGGCATAAGAGATGCCCAGAAAGCCAGTAAAACATTATTTCTGGGTGTGTCTGTGAGGATGTTTCTGGAAGAGATTAGTATTTTGAATCATTAGACTGAGTAAAGAGATCCAGCCTCACCACTGTGAGTGGGCATCATCCAATCCACTGGGGGCCGGAATGGAACAAAATGTCAAAGGAAGGGAGGATTCTTTCTCTCTGTTTGAGCTGGGATGTCTATCTTCTACCTTTGGACATCAGAACTCCTGGTTTGTGGGTCTTCAGACTGTAGGACTAACACCAGTGGCTCCCTGGCTCCCAGGCCTTTCAACCTGGACTGAATTACACCACTGGCTCTCCTGGGTCTCCAGCGTGCAGACGGCAGATTGTGGACTTCTCACCCTCTGTAACCACATGAGGCGATTTCTGTAATAAATCTCCTCTTATATATCTATCTCCGTATATCTTGTTGGTTCTGTTTTTCTTGAGAACCCTGATAATACAGAAGGTAAGCATTCACGGAAATGGTTGATCTCATACCTTTGAGAATGGATGCACGGGGCATATCTTTACCATTTTAAAAGATTTAAAAATGCCTTACATTTGGGACATGCCTTATTGTTCATGAAAACTTTTACATGCAGTTTTGATTACTATGAAACAAATCCACGTACAACTCTTCAAGTAATACTTTTGCTCATTTATTTACATTTTTTCCTCCCATATATTAAGTTCGGAAATTGGGAGGTGTCTTAGAATCAGTGGTGTTTTGCAGTTGTCATCCACCAGGAATGACTGTGACCAGGTGTCACTTAAACTTGGTCCCAGTTCTTTGTGTTGTCACTTTGGTTGAGTTATATGCATGGTCGACACCGTATGTGTTGCTATTTGTATGTCTTAAAAATTATAATATGATTTTATTTTGAGACAAAAAGTTATCAGCTACAGGGAGAGGCAAAGAAAGAGTGGGATGAAATGTGACATTAGGGAACCAAAGAGCTGTCACTGGAGGAATGACTGCAGCAGGTCCTTATGTCTTTGCAAAGCAGCCACCACGTGTGTTACCTAATACAGGAAGATATCAACATGTAAAGAAGGCCGGATTTCATTTTGTTGCTGAAATAGATACAAAAGAATTACCTATCACACATCACTCAAGGTACCCCAAGTAGAAACAACTGCCAAAACTCTCAAAATAGATAAAAGACATCTGCAAGTAAAACACCACTGATTTAAGACATGATTTAAGACTTTATTAAGACATGGCATCATAATTTCATTTGTAGGATTTTTTTCTCCGGTGGTGATGTGTCAGAAATGGTGCACCATCAAGTACCTGTTCAATTAAAGGTTCTCTGTGGGATGCTTTTACTTGACATTTAAGCCTCACACCAAGTCTCCTCCATTGACGTCATTATCCTCAACCTAGAGGTGAGAGATAGTCATTTGCTCAGGTTGGTCATTTATTTTTTTTGTAGACCTAGGACTTGAATCCTCATATGCCTGTGCCCAGAGCCTGTGCCACCTTCTCTAGCCTTCACTGCCTTGGTAGAAATCACCTTGATTTTCCAACTCCTCTGTCCTTCAGGAGCACCCATGGGAAGAAATGGCTCCAAAAGGCCTATAAACTAGAGATGTTCTGGAACAAGATGACATTTTGGGTTTTTCTTGGTTTTTCATCTAAAATCTTATATTCTGGGGACTGGAAATCCTGGCTAGGGCTTTTATGCCTAGTGTTTCAAATCTTGACTAGGGTACTTACGGCATTTACTTCTCCATGAATTCTCATCACGTATTCTCTCACTTCATCTTGCAATGGTTTCCTAAAGGCAATTTTTAAATGTAAATTTACCTTTAAATTTGAAAATAAATCTCAAAGGTAATTTTTCAGCTGGGTAATCTTGATTTATGCCCGAGAATAAAGTTACAATAATAGTCCCCAAAGGGCCTATAGAAAATAGGTGAATTGAAGATAACTCAATAAATGTTTCTCAACATCACCAGCCAAGGATTTTCCAGAAAACTTGATGTTAGAAAAGTATTGAACATTTATTTTTACCAAACTCCATCTTCTCAAGAAATAACTAGATGAGAATTTCACATACAAATGTTTGTTTCCACAGCTATCTGAGACGGAAAAAAGAACCAAAATAAAATAAAAATGAAAACCACTTGGATTTCTTACCATGATTATAATTGTATTCATCCCAGCATTTTTAAAGGTTTAAACATGTTTAGAAAAGTGGTTTCTTCTTAGATCAGGATCAGGAACTTCAGCCCTCTTGGGAAAGGCCAGCCTGTGGTAAGCTAGCTGGCAACAGGGGTGGAAGTGCCAGAAATATCAGTGGGAAGACAACGAGTCTGAGATTCTTGTGTGATTCAACAATTTGCTTGAGTTTGGAATTACTACTATGTCATGGAATGAAACCAGAAAGATCATTATTCACACTTCATACATTTATTTCTTTCTAGCTTTGTAAATCTTTTCTGAAAGCCATATTCTTAACTAGAGGTATCCAGTTAATTAAATCACAAGGATTTTGTATCAAGTAACAAAAATAATTCATTTCTTCTAAATTGAGCTGGTGGGGCCATTTTCATCTTTCCTGGGACAAGCATTCAGTGAAAACAGAATCAGCGTGCATCCAGGTTGAGTTTTACTCTAATCTCTCTACTATGAAAGGTTTGAGCACGTTGCTGGCATTTAAATTATTAATAATTAATGCAGTGTCACTTAATATTCTATTTGCCTGTTACCAGTTTTTTTTCTAATGAACAGCTCGGATTACTCAATGGACTCTTAAGAATGGGCCTGCTAGATCTCAAAATAATATTTAGAGACTCATGTACAACTATATCTATTCCCACCTTTTCCTGCCTGACTTCGCAGGAGGAGATATGTCTCTAGTCCAAGATGAATCACCGATCTGTACTCTAAATGTTTACATGGAATTAACTTTACCATTTGGCTCACCTCTTAAACTATTGCTTTGGAATTTTTTCTCTCAGCAAATGCTACCATCTTGCATCACTTTCCTTCCCATTCCTATACCTACACTCCATCCAATCCACCAGCATCCAATTCATTTTACTAATTCAACATTAACTGATTACCTTCAGCTAGTTCCACATCTTCAATGACCATCTATATACCCAGTAAGGCAAAATCTTGACCTTCAGAACTGTTTCCAACTTGTAATAACTTCTGTGACTCACAATACCCTCAAACTTTACATGTTAAAATTCAATTGTTTCTTTCCTCCAGCTTGGCCTCGTACATATTTCCTGTCCCACTGAGTTAGCAGTAGAGTCAAGGTAGAATTAAGAATATTGATTACTTAGATTCCCCACACCCCCCCAGATTTCTATACTAGACTATGTAGTCAGTAAATTTTAAAGGAAAAAATGACCCTTTATATGTACTCCAACTTAACTTTTGTATTAATGATCTATTTCTATGGAACAAATTTTCACACACTTAGTGGCTTTAAACAACATGTATTTATTATCTCAAAGTTCCTCTGGGTTAGATGTCCAAGCATGGCTTAGCTGGGTCCTTTGCTCAAGGTTTCACAAAGCTGCCATCAAGGTGTTGGCTGGGGCTGAGATCCTCTTCCGAGCTTACTGGTTGTTGGCGAAATTCATTCCCTTGAAACTGTAGAACTTGTGGCAGCTTGCTTATTCAAGGCCAGGGGAAGAGAGAGAGTCTCTGACTCATTCACTCTTTTTTAAAAGGCTTATCTGATGAGGTCGGGCCCAACCAGGTCGTATCCTTTTGACTGACTCAAAGTCACCTGATTAAGAACCAGAAACCTCTTCACCTTTGCCATGTAATATAACATAATCATAGAAGAGACTATCTCATTCTTTCTGCCATATCCTATCAGTTAGAAGCAAGTTATAAATCCCACAATTAAGGGGACAGTCGGGGTGTAGACCATTGGGGATCATTCTATAATTCTATCTGCCACCGCTTAATTAAAAAATATATATATGAGTGATGAGAAAAACCATTAAATGTAATTTTGAGATATTAAAATGTTGACTATAGAGAAGAAAAGTATAGAACTTGAACATCTCCAAGTTTAATGGAAATGGCACATATTTTGAAGATGGTGAAAATGGTTTCCTATGCCTATCCTTACATTTACTGCCTTGGGCAGGAGATATATCCAAGAACCTAAACTTTAGATCATATTATATGCACCTAAATGGAATAATCAGAGACGTTGTTTTGAAAGACAGACATTTAATTACATAACTGTCTTCACTTGCAAACCATCTTACTATGTGTTAGTTTCATTTGCATTAGAGAGAAAAAAACACCATTTTATGAATGTAAGTAAGTTATATGTGTTCCCTCAGGGTCCATAATTTTGACTTTTCTTTTTTTAAAAAAATTTTTATTTCTTTATGATAGTCACAGAGAGAGAGAGGCAGAGACACAGGCAGAGGGAGAAGCAGGCTCCATGCACCGGGAGCCCGATGTGGGATTCGATCCCGTGTCTCCAGGATCGCGCCCTGGGCCAAAGGCAGGCGCCAAACCGCTGCGCCACCCAGGGATCCCATATAATTTTGACTTTTCCTCTCTTTTTTTCTTCTAATACTTCTGGCAGACAGTGGTTTTCCTCAGAAGTGTTTAATCTTTCTCCGGGTAGGTATTTCAAGTATCTTGTAAAGTTATGTTCTTACAGCATACAATGGAATACCTACAGAGGTTCCTAGATCCTCGACACCCCCCTTTCTGCCCCATATCATCTCTAGCTCCTTTTCCTGGATGCATCACACAGATGCTCTTGGAGTTAACGCAGGCGCCATTAGAACATGAGATGCATAAGAATCCTGCCACTTTTAGGTCCTGCCTCTTAGGGAAAACTGTTCCACTGGTACTTAGTAAAAACACAATGTGACTTGGTGAATTTCTTTCTTTCTCTTGACATTGGCAATCATCAGGCAATCCCATGGTATACGATCCGTGTGAGGTCGGCTTGCAAATCCCTAGAGATATGTGGTTACTTCTCTACTTTCCCTCTCTTTTGCTTGGGCAACTGCCACATTGATGCACTGGAGCCACTCTTCTGCATTCTTCTCATCCTTGGCCTTGAAAACATAGGTTTTATTGTCTGTGAAGATTTCAAAAGCCCGAGGGAGGGAGCGGTCCCTGCGTTTCCTGGCCACAACTTTCACACTCTGTACTTTGCTGAGTTCTATTGGGGAGTCATCAGGATCATCTTTCTGAAATGCATATGGGAAGGAGAGAACATGAGCTGGCTCCCAGAGTATGAAAAGATCTCTGGCAACTGGAGACTTTTTCAAGAGGGATCAGAATCCTTTCACTGCATATAGTTCATAACCTTTGGTATTTTGAATGCTAAGGCCTCAATGAGTCATTAAAACAATGGAAGGAGTGAGCAATTGGCCCTATGTTACAGTCTATTAAGTTGGCACAGATGGCTAATTTATAAAAACTTATTATTTGGTGGGATTTGGGGAAATGTTTAATTCATTTTCTTTGATTTTATGTCATTTTTTATTGATATCAATACTGTATCAATAGAGCAAAAAGCAATAGTACAGTTAGAGTACTATTAATCCAGAATTTGAGACAGTTTGGGAAGCATGAAAATGAATTTTCCTTTGTATTATCTCTGAGAAAGGTGTATGAATTGAATAAACAGGGTTCTAATGTTTAAGTAAATCAAACTGTTTTTGAAATACACTGGAGCTTTGGAAGTATGATTTGTCTACAAACATTTAGTGAAAGAATACTTGATGATTTACATTTTTCTTGCATCAACACAGAGCCTCAAAGATGCCTGCTGCAACACAGGAGGCTCATCACAACGGGCTAGTATGAATAGTTTCAAAAGAGCAAGTACTTCTCTACGGCAATTTCTTTAAAACCCCTGAATACATTTGTCTACCGGAGGACTTGCCTGGGCCTGAGGCTCTTGCCCGCTCTCCTTTCCCGCCTCCCCTATACAACTACCTTTCTTTCACCTTCCAATGAAAAGGCACCCTTCTCCCTCATCCCAAAGTTCCCATGATGTATCATCCAACTTGGAAAAATCTCAGGAGGATCAAACAAGTGAGAAAAGCAATCGAAAATATTGATGCTGGGGAAGCGTCTTTCAACCAAAGCAATACAACCACTCCCCAGCTGTTTCGTTAAGAGAAGCATTTCCAACAGCATTTCACTTTTTAATGGTTGGTACCCATTTATAACATTTTGTATTATACTCATGACTTTTCATAAGTGATAGTCTTAAAAATATAATAATAAAATATTAATATTTAGAGACTGATGTCACAAAATATTAAAATAAATTTCAATTTATATAGATAATTTTACTGCAGTGAAAAATGATTGGGTGATCAGGATAAAATACTGTGGAGCAGGTAGGAAACAATATGACTTGAGGGAAAAAGGATACCGTGTAAACACTGCAGTAAGAGATGAACCAATTTGTTTATTTTTTTAAATGGATGGTCGTAGGTGCCAAATTGCTATGGTATGTTATTCCAATGGTTATATTGAAGGAGAAGTGTGAACTTTTTATTCTAAAATGATAATATTTTCAGTTCAACAGAAATTACAATTTGGACAACTTCTTAAACCTAGGATAAACTTAAAATGCTGCAAGGTATTGCACAGATTTTCAAAATTCTTTTAGGGAATAGAATAAAGTTTGAAGATACTTGTACTAGATAATACTTTGTTAGCGCAATTTGGTCTAAAGTAAATATCTGACAGTGATAAGTTTGTATTTCTTTGAATTAGAGACTAGACATTGATACCTGGAGGAACTGATCAAGAAAACAAAAAGTTACCCTAATTCTCTGTAGTCTTTCAGTTCTTATTAAAAATGCACATTTTTCTCATTTATAAGAAAGGTCCTTTACTTTTATTTTCTGTCATTAATGTTTGTTTGTTTGTTTATTTATTTATTTATATTATTATTTTTTTTAATTGGAGTTTAATTTGCCAACATATAGCATATCACCCAGTGCTCATCCCATCAAGTGCCCTCCTCAGAAAGGTCCTTTATGATGGGGCCGAAGTTTCGGGTGGCCTGGTGACCCCTGCTAGGTCACCGTGTCCCTGGGGGTGAGCGGGAATTTGCTGTGGTCCTTCTACTGCATTATATTATTTCTCAATATTTGAGCCACATGTTCCATCACATTTCTTAAATGTCAAACCATTATTTCCCAGTAAAGATGTCAAACAAGTTAGCCAATTATAAAGTAGTTTATTCTTTAAGCTTTCTTAAAAAGCTCTGAATCAAGAAGTATAAAGGTTATTATCTGAGCTCAGGAAAATATTCTTATGCACAAACTCTGCTCTGCCTCAAGGGATCGGAAAAATCACTGTATCTTAACTTCTATTTCTGATTTCTTTAATAAAAACAGGAAATTCAGATGGTCATTTTAGATACTTTAAAAGTACTTCAATGTGGAGCTATGCTAAGAAGAGTTTCTTTAAACCTCCAACCACGGTCTGAATCGAGCACACCATTATGCTTCTCCTTCAAAAAGATCTTCAGCCACAGAAAAGTCCACCTGTATATTTGATAATACCCGCAGACGAAGAAAGTAGCATGAGCTTAGTGTAGGTATCACCAACTTCTTTCATTCAAAAAGTTAACATGAAGTTTTAGTAACTAAAGAAGTGTTGATCAAAATTTGTCATAATTCAGATATACTATGTTTCTGTTGAGTAAAATGTTCAAATAAATTTTATGAGATAATTTTATATATCTTTATATCCAAAGATATAGTGCGAATGTGCTCAGTGAATCGTGATTTTTAAATAATTTAAAATCTTTCATTAATTAAATTCAAACGTAGTTTGGTTTGCCACTGACTCTGTATTGTAAGTGTTCATGGGACGCAGGACAGTACACTCATTTAATAACATGCTCCGATGTCATACTGCTTGTGTCAGACTCCAGTTTTATCCCTTTTTACCTTACTGGCTCTATTTTTGGTCAAGCTGATCAGTCTCTGTGTGTGTCTCTCCCTCACAAGGGGAAGGGAGTGGGGTGGGGCTTGATGTTAAATGCTATATGGTGGAACAACTTTGAGATATGCTAGTTAACCAAAATTAAGTGGGCTATCTCCTGCGAGACTTGTCAGAGCCTTTAGCTCCTTTGTATCTCCCAGATAACTTTGATGAGGACGAAGACCAACACCTGGTAATGTCTGACAGACCCTGGGTTTTAAAGGCCACCAGCGGAACACAGTGGGCAGAGAGGCCAGCGCAGGGTGCTGTATGCGTGTTTTTTTGGGCATCTTTGTGCAGGAGTGAATGACCACATGTACATATGCACATGCTTTCTCCATTGCTCTGATTCTGGGGCTCAAATAATATCTGTAAAAGGGGGGACATGACAGAAATCCAAAGGCCAAGGTCTTGCCCTTCCTGGCCTGCCTACCAGCAAGATAAAGACAGAAAGTACCTCCGCTGCCCACTCAAGTCAGATCCCACAAGGCTTTCTTGGGGTCAGACAACCTGGTATCTGCTCCTCCTGGGAAAGACACAGGCAAGTGAGGGCTCTCACTGTGCACTGTGCAAGGGACCTCCGGGATCACCCTCCACCCCCAGAGGAATAGGCCTCCATTCGCTGGCAGGGAGGGAGGGAGGGAAATGCACCCCAGACTTACCCGTCTGTAATACGGCAATAACAATAATGCTGACCTCAAAGGACTCTTCTGAAGGTTTTTGAATTTTATTTGACAGAGAAAGAGAGAGAGAGAGAGAGGCAAAGCAGAGGGAGTAGAAGGCAGAGGGAGAGGGAGAAGCAGGCTCCCATGTGGGGCTCGATTCCAGGACCCTGGTATCATGACCTGAGTGGAAGGCAGAAGCTTAACCGACTGACCCACCTAGGCACCACCCCCACTTTTTAAAGAAGATTTTAGGGTAGCCCGAGTGGCTCAGTGGTTTAGTGCTGCCTTCGGCCCAGGGCATGATCCTGGGGTCCCGGGATTGAGTCCCACGTCGGGCTCCCTGCATGGAGCCTGCTTCTCCCTCTGCCTGTGTCTCTGCCTCTCTGTCTCTCTGTTTCTCATGAATAAATAAATAAAATCTTTAAAAAAAATAAAGAAGATTTTATTTATTTATTTGACAGAGAGAGAGAGAGTTCTGAGGATTCTTTAAGGCAACCCAGTGTGGCATGCAATAAGCTGTTATCATTATATTCACAATATTCAAGAAGTACGTCAAGATTTCTTTCTCTCTGATCCTGAATGAGTAGAATTTAATGATAAATAAAACTGACTTGAAAAGAAGAGAATAGCTTCGCATTGCTGATTGGAATAGAATGCTATTTCAGAAGTTTCCTACTCAAAATCCAGAGCACAGATATTTACTGAGCATCCTACTTCAGACTGAAAATGATATTCAATGAATATTTATTAATTCTTTTAGAATCCCATTCTAGTTATTATCTGGGTATTAAGTGAAGGGTGATAATGGTTTTCCCTAACCAGAACTGAAGTTAGTTGACTACAAGAAGTACTTAAGATAAATCAGCCTTTGTTTCTTTCTCCCAGCCTGCTGTCTCTCTTCCCTGGGTCTCTGCCTCCAGATATAACCTTTAGTTCTAAAGGAAATCAGGGCCAATGTCATACGCTATTAATTTATGTGAGTGATCTATAAGGAAACAAAAGAAACACTGTTCAAGTCAAGCTCATTGGTAGGAGCTCATCTTCAGTAGTTCATCTTCTAAAACGTAAGTCAACTTTTAAAAAGATCTCCCCTAATAAACCAAAGAGAAAAAGTGAACCGACTAACATAAGACCAAACAGAATAGACAGTCCAGGGAACGTATGCAAAAAAACGCCGACACTGTAAAATTTTAAATGGAAAAGGGCAAATTATTGGTGTTTTAACTCGAGACAAAATGCCTAGCTGGTTGGTGGAGATGGAGACCTTAGAAATACAAGTATAAAAGGCAAGGGGGAAACTTACAGACTTTCCTTTTTGAAACAGAAGTTGATTTCCAGCCAGTGTAAAATAACGAGTTTTCCACCTCTTGATGAACTTCCATCGGACTTGCTTCTCTTTAAGTTTTCCTTCTATGAGAGGCTGGCCATCTTGATTTATAACTGTTGAAGGTAAGAGAATGATCAAGCCGTTTATTTCCCATTATTTTTTTTGGCAAGCGATCAAAAGTCAGAATTATACAACAAACCAGAACCCAGGAAAGTATATTTGGAAAGTGCGGCAGTAAATTATGAATTTGGTTAACCTTTCCCCCTTTTGTCCCTAAAGGAATGCACAATTTAGATATGATAATGGGAACCCGTTGAAAGCCCTCACTGAGATTTTCAAAAGGAATAGAGTTCACAAAAAAGAGCATCTGGTTAGCAGTTTTTAAGATGTAGCCAGATATTCAACTTTCTGTGCTTCTTAACTCTTTTGTTTCACATTAACTGCTCACACAAGCTGCTTAGAAGTATAGCTCTATAAATAATCATAAGTCAAGGATATTTAGCTATTTGGCAGCAAAAGCTGAAGAAATGCCCCTGAAGATGTGTTTTTCCTGAAGACATAATATCACAAAGGCCAGCCCAACTCTTTTGAACGTGGTATTTCCACTCGGGAACACACGTCCTCCCTCTCCATTCTGCATACGCCCATCTCTGCCCAATCAACAACTAATCATTTCAGGTGTCAACTTAGATGTTGCTTCTTTTGGGAGAACTTCCCCAATCTCAGACGAGGGCGGATTCACCTGCCATATGTTCTCATCGCATCTGGCATGTTTTTTTTTTTTTTTTTTTGTGTGTGTGTTTTTGTCTTTTTTTTTTTTTTTTACATCAAGAATCATTGGTAGATAGTTATTGGTATTTATCTGATTCACATGTGTCTTTCCCATTGAACTGAAAACTCCACGAGGGCAAATTTTTGCTTTGTTCACCGATGTATCACCCGGCATCTAGTATAGTAGTGCCTGATGAACATAGGGAATCTGTAAGTATTTGTTGACTGAAAAGGTTAATTTTACAGTGACGTAGAGTGTGTACGATAACGTGTGATCATGGAATTAGAAGATGTGTTACAATGTCAGAAGTCAAAAGTTACAATGCTGAACTGAAGAGTTTCATTTATTTTGCCATCTACACAAGATTCACTCTCCAAATTCACAGGCGAGCATCTGATTTCTGGGGATTATGCAACATTTACTTACATACATTATGTTCAATTTTCATTACGCTTTGAATGTAATGAAATGTGTTCCATCACTTAGAAATCCAGACAGTGCCTGTTTGACCATAGAAACACAACCCATTCTTGCTATCCTACTGTTTCTCTTTTCCAATACAGGTCAAGGAACTACTTCAGACCAGGAGGATTTGTCCATCTTGACAGTATTTTCAGGATAGGAATGATGCAATTTACAGCATGGATAGTTTTCATAAACAAAGTTCTACTAAGGCTAGTTTGGCCCTTTTCCCCCCTGTCTGATGAATGTTCAATGGAATGTTCTATTGTCGATCCCAATAAGGCTAAACACTGAAAACATCAAATATACTGTTAGATAGTGACAGGGCTATGATGAAAATGAATTGGGAGTGACATGGGGGTTGGTGCCCGCGCACATAAGTTGTCAGGAAATAGCCTGGACGTTTGAAGGGAACTTCGATCTGAGACTTCAGTGTTGAGAGGTCTCCTGTCTTTGGAGGAGCTTCATGGCGGCGAGCATGGTGCACAGCAGAGCATAGAGAGAGCAGGAACTCAAGGAATATTGACTAACAGTTTCAAGAAAATTATTTCAGAGCTCTGCCTTGCCTTACTAGGAATCATCTGACTTAGAGTATTAATACAGTAATGCTCTTTGGAAATTGAAATGTCCCATCAACATGGTGCTTGCTCCTTTTGTATGGCCTCTACACTCAGCGGTTACCTCGGACAGAGCACTTAGGACCGATGCTCTGTCTTTCCCGTGCAGCGTGGCCTAGAGAGCCAGAACAGCCTCACAGTGTTGGCCTGGACCGTGGGTTCAGTGTTTACTAACAGCGTGCTCTTGAGGCACGAAGGGGGCAGCAGTCCCTCTGAGAGGAGGAACAGAAGGTCCAAAGGGAGATCCAAGAAAAAAGGAAAACACACTCTAAGCAAACAATGAATAGCCCAGGCCAAAACTTACATTAAAATCTTCCCTAAAACATCCATTTCTTATGCTTTCAAATCAGAAAAAATCGCTAATCTAATTATGATGTCCGAGGATTTTTGAATAAGAATTCAGAAGAGTTATATTTGAATCCTTTCAACTATAGTTTTCTGATCAGCAAGATCCCACCTGCTTTGCAAATATGATGCGATCAAAAGTCAAAATTAAGAAACTTATGTGAGGACACCGGGTAAGTAAACGCTACGGCCCCCTCCGTCCTCTCTGCTTTTAGTAGACTTTACCACATAGTTTGTAATCCCATTGCTTTCTTGCCAAGGTTTTTATGGTAAGATGATTTAACGTAATGGCTTCATAACAGCACATTTTTCTAGTCTCAGTCTTCTATATTTACTCAAAGAATCATTTGAAATAGTCATGATACCTGAGCTGATTAGAAATCATGGTTGACTTAAATAATATTTAAGCCCATGGATCCTTCTGGATCTGACATAGGGGATTTTCTTCAAGTATTTCTCCTCAAGGCAGGTCCAAAGGTTGCACTTGGGGCACCTGGGTGGCTCAGTCGGTTAAGCATCTGATTCTTGATTTCAGCTCAGGTCATGATCTCAGGGTCGGGAGATCCAGCCCCTCACTGGGCTCCACACACTGGGCATGGAGCCTGCTTAAGATTCTCTCTCTCCCTCTCCCTTCGCCCCTCCCCTCGCTCACTCTCTCTCTCCCTCTCTCTTACTCTCACTCTTAAAAAAAAAAGACTTTACAAAGGTTGCACTTGAAGAGTATGTGACAAAGGTTTTCAAGGAGCACTTGGCAGAATAGTTGAAGGAATTGTTTGAGATACAGAGTGGATAGGATCTCACACCCACAGACCGAACATAATGACCATAATGACCATGAAAGACTCAAGATGAAATGATAGGATTACTGGAGATCAAAAAGATGAAGGACTGCCGAGAAATTCTGCTGAACAGAGGCTTTCCATTATATAGCCCAGCCAAAATTACCCCAGGGAAAAAGTCCACGGAAAGGGCTGTAGGAAGGAAATGTTAGCAGAACTTTAAAGTAGCTGCGTGTGAGGGCCTGAATTTAGGGGTTGGAGTCAGCTTCTGATAATTTTATAAAAGCCAGACTATTTGTAGCTCTGGGATTAATTTAAAAATAGTTTCAAGGGGATCCCTGGGTGGCGCAGCGGTTTGGCGCCTGCCTTTGGCCCAGGGCGCGATCCTGGAGACCCGGGATCTTGTCCCACGTCGGGCTCCCGGTGCATGGAGCCTGCTTCTCCCTCTGCCTGTGTCTCTGCCTCTCTCTCTCTCTCTCTCTCTCTCTCTCTCTCTCTCTCTCTGTGACTATCATAAATAAAAAAAAATAAAATTAAATTAAAAAAATAAATTGGGTTGTCTTTTATTTTTTATTTTTTTTTAATTTTTATTTATTTATGACAGTCACACACACAGAGAGAGAGAGGCAGAGACACAGGCAGAGGGAGAAGCAGGCTCCATGCACCGGGAGCCCGACGCGGGATTCGATCCTGGGTCTCCAGGATCGCGCCCTGGGCCAAAGGCAGGCGCCAAACCGCTGCGCCACTCAGGGATCCCTGGGTTGTCTTTAAAAAAAAAAAAAATAAAATAAAAATAGTTTCAAAAGTAAAAAAAAAAAAAAAGACTTAAAAACGCTCCACCTACTATTCCATATCTTAATTTTATTTTGCAGTGATATCTAGCACGTGCACAAGAGGCCAAGTGTCAGTTTAATAGGTCTACTGCCCGTATCATGTCCTTATCAGCAATAGTTCTCATGATGACACTGTCTTCATGATCAAAACGAGGAATTAATTCTTTCCAAGAATGATCATATCCTATTTGAAAAACAGCATATGTGGAATGAGACTGAGAGAATGATCATGTGCCTGAAACTACGTAACACATGCAAGATATGTAAATCTTTTCTCACTCGCCAACTAATGCATTAGTTCATTGAAGGGCCACCATTGGGCTAAGACATTCTCCGCCAACCCAGATCTGTTCTTCTCTTCATCAGTTAGCTGAAAAGCTATGGAAAATTAAACTGAATTCCCTCGTGCAATTGGAACCCAAACTGTTAGCGTGCTTACCAACTTAGAAGTCTTTCTGAGTGTTAATGCAAATGTTTATACACTAATTGTATTTCTTTTGGGCACCAAGGGTTGAAGATATTTATGTCGATAAAAAATGAACTTTGAAGGCATTAACCTGACTCAGTGTGACGTTGGTAAGAGCGAAATAATACCAGGCAGAGACCTCAAAGCTGAGAAGCCCCACGGCAGGGAGAGCAAAGCAGTAAAGAATAGTCCTCTGTTCATCCGCCAACCATCCAGCCACCCCCGCACCACCCCCGCACAGTCTCCTGAGCACAGATAAGCTGAAAGCCACTGTGCTTGGATCTGAGCGGGTGACAATGTCCAGTTCAGAGGGAGCTTGAATTTATCATCTTGCAGGTGAGGTAAAGTATTTTTACAAATTACACAGCTCAATGTGGAGTTTGGCAAGTGCCACGGGAGAAGTAAAAGCCAAGCACTACGATACTCAAAGAAAGGAAATTCTACTTCTGGCTGGGAGGCGGTGACATGGGGACTGGGCCTGTGCTAAGGAAGAGAAAAAGGGTATTTAGGAAGAGGGAAAAGGGCAGAGGTACAAGGGGGGTGTGTAAGGGAAAGCTCGTGAAAAGAAAAGAACGTAAAGAATCTGAAAAAAAAAAAAAAACCATGAACTCAGAAGCAATTTTATAAAGCACTTGCCCTGGGACAAAGCCATGAGGACGGAGGGTATGAAGGCAATTCTAGGTGTAAGATCCAGGAAAGAGACTGGGTAACAAACTGTCATGGTGAGGTCATATTGGACTTCAGTTGTTCAGTCCTTTTGAAGACTCACTAGAAAGGACTTTGCTTTTCTTAAGGACTAAGCAGGAGCCCAGAACCTGTGAAGGTCCTGCTGGCACAGG